AAATGAGCCTATTTTCAAAAATAGTGGAGTGTTCCTTTAACTTTATTCATTAAAACTTGCTTATACACTTGATGAGAAAATTAGCAGGATGACTAACATGATGGAAATAAAGTGCCCTTGCTCAGTGAAGAATTGACAGTTTTGCTGATATCATCATATCAATTTTTTTGCAACTTAATCTAACGAGATGGAGTGTTTTAAAGTGGAACAAACCAACTAAAAACACCAACATCGCATAATTAATGGAATTCACTGCTAATATTTACGTTTTCCCACCAAAATGATGTCACTTCCTGCAGAACGATGTCAGTTCTTGTAGTTAAAGGCATTTTATTGATTAGAGAAAGTTATTGATAAACACCTGGGTGCAATATCTCTTAATAAATCGCCAGTTTGTCATGATAGAAGTTAGTGTACAGCAACTTCCACTCAAACGAATTCATCCCATGTTCCCATTTCATAATTGTGACAAATTTGTGATAAAAGAAAACTAACTGCTATGAGTTTAACATTTACAGTATATTACGACATATAATGGAGATATGAAATTATGAAGAAAAACATACTCTGATAAGAAATGACAATAAAGTGAAATTAGCGTTCAGTCAGTCAGTCAGTCAGGGCGGGACTGGAAAATGCTCGTGCAGAAGGGAAGCAAGAGAGAGTCATTACACGAATATTTGGAATTCCACTTCCGTTTGGTGGATTTCAAGAAGTCTCCACAACTTTAAATTAGCTTTGTGCTCTGCACGTCTCGATAAGAGGCGCATTTATTGTGTTGCTAATCAAATGGCTTCTTCACCGCAGAAATCACCGTTCTCACCGAAATCTCCCACTCCAAAGTCGCCTTCCTCCATGAAAAAAGATGACTCTTTTCTTGGAAGACTTGGAGGAACTTTAGCAAGAAGAAGGTGTGAATACAGCTTAAATCCATGGATAGCCGATGTCTCTCTGATACTATCTTATATTTGATCGTATGCATGTCAAACTAATTTAAACTCATTGATGTTTAGGCATGTATCTGTCAGATTACTAGCTATAGTTCTGAACACTTGTACTGTATATTTATGTTTCATTTTATTTTTACAGTGTAGTGCGTGATACAGAAATGCAATCTCATTATATACATATAAATAAAAATTAAACATACTGTATTGTAATTACTGTAAGTTAGTTTAATTTTGAAACGTGCCTTTAATCTCAGAAAAATCGTTCTTTCTTTCTTTTGTCATGTTTTGGTTTATTCTGATCATGTAAATTGTAAGTACAGTTGCACTGTTGTTGATATACAGTAGACTCAAGGAGTGTTTACAAAAGGCTGCACGTCTCTGCTGTGACCATATAAGAAGAGAAGTGGCTGTTAAATACTCATTGTGAGAGGTTGGGTAAATATGCAATAAGACAATATTATTCCCTATTTTCACATAAAAATTATG